TGAAAAATAAGAAACAAACATTTTTCTACTTAGTCCATATGTTCAGTTAATGCACACAAACCCCAAACATCTGGGTCTTGAGTTGCAATCTGACTTAGCAGATAGTCTGTTTCCACAAGATCCCCCGGATCCCTGACCCACTGCCACGCACGCAGCCAGTCCCGCTGGCTGGCATTCCAGAGCGGCCATCAGCGAGGACACACCCCACATCAGGCCAACGCCAGGCTCAGCTGTGTCCTACTCACTGTGCCCTACTACTGCGCTTTCCTCAAATGACTCCATGTCAAAACTCAAAAACGTGCAAAAAATGGGTTTTCATACTGATCTATAGTATAAATGCCCTGTCCGTACACTTGATCCTGGCAGTCCCAGCTGGACATATAAAGAATAAACCACCCTGGCTGGTGTGGTTCAGTGGACTGAGTGACAACTTGTGAACCAAGGGGTAACTGGTTCAATTCCCAGTCGAGGCACATGCCTGGGTTGCAGGCCGGGTCCCTAGAAGTGGGTGCTCAAGAGGCGACCATACACAGATGTTTCTCTTCCTCTCTTTCTCCCTCCCTTCCCCTCTCTCTAAAATAAACAAAATTTTTAAAAATAAATAAATAAAGGAGGAGCCTAGCCTACTCAACCCAGACTTTCTGAGTACCAATGCAAAACAGGTTTAGAGTTAAAACCTCAAGTACTCCTAGAATTACAATGAGCAAAACCCAAATTATTGGCTCATTTGCAAGTAAGAAAAAAACACCTACATAAAAGAATTCAAGTTCATTTTTCTATTCCCCAAGTAGAACACCACTGTTGAGTGAGATACCACCCAAGTGACCTCACATTTTTAGTACAATGATTAAGCTATAGCACCAAAGAAAAAGATTTTTCTTTCTTTCTTGAATTTATTTAAAGAATCTCATTCAGGTATGAGATCTGAAAGTCAGGATCCAAAATTCCAGTTGAGGTTGGCAGCAGTCCACTGCCTGCTGGGCTCCAGGAATTAAAGAGAATAACTCCCAGAGCTGATAGCACAGTCTACTCCATGCCAGTTTTAATTAGAAATAACCAACAGGTGAGTGGATTCTGGCCAAGGATTCAAAGCTAGGCCCCACAGCTGAGAGACTGCACCAGCCCCTTGTATGTGGGGCTGGCTCTGGGCCACGTGCAGCCTCTTCAAGGGGAAGGGAGAGTGGTATTTCAGCAAACAGCTTGGCCCCACTATCTAGAGAGCTCATAATAACTGAAAAGACCTTTACAGTGTCAGCATTTAGGATGTACAACTATACTCAGAGTCCTCAACAAATCATTCACAACACATTGCAGTGAGTCTAAGGAACCTCAAGTAATTTTTAAAAGCATACTACTTGGATATAAAATAATTTAGGACTTACATAGTTCTAATCTTTACTTTTCCTTTCTAAATTCCACTACCCACACTTATACAATTTTTTTTCTCATTTACTTATGTGTTTATAAGTTAATGACTTTCTAATTTAAATATACATTTTTATTGATATACTGGGATTAAATTCTTATCCTTTAATTCTCCCCCAAATTCTCATTAATAGCTTTCAACTGTTGGCAAATATTTTTTCTCATTTTCAGAACTTACCCAGAGAGAAATGCCAGATTTAGTATCTTTTTAAAAAATCATTCACATGTATCCTATTTAAAACTATGCCTATGAGAAAATGGAAGAATATTTTTCCCTTCTAATGATTAATCTTACATTAACCTTTATTAGTAATAGTTGCATTAATATTAATAACCTTGTTTCAATATATAATAAGTGTTCTCTATAATAGGTTGATTTTACCTCAACACAAACCAGAAACCCTAACTAGATTATACATCTGAATTAGTATAAGAACCATTAACTTCACCACACAGAGAAAACCACGGCAAGTCTGCGAGTGATAAAAGCCTTCCCCACAGAGGGAAACCTGGTGACAGTCCTGACCAGGAAAGCTGCCCAGGGCCCTTCCCATAGCCAGTGAGCACTGTGACGCAAAGAAAGTCAGAGTGAGGCAGCTCCCCGCAGCCCGCCAATGCCTTCACCACAGCAAGCAGCTCTGCTGTCAAATGACTCAAAACCCGAAGGGCTATGGCACGCTTGTCAACTTCAGCAGAACTGGTGCCCACCTCTGTCTTGCACACGTGCACAAATGAGTGTGGCAGTTTTGTCTTGAGAACAGTGAGAGAAACTAATGGGCTCCAGCACCAGCCTAAGTCACCTTTTTCTGCTCTTTTTAAAGCTGATGAAACTAGAAACTGGAAATCAACACAACGATATGACTTGGCCCAGGACAACCCAGAAGTTTCAAACCAGGGTGATCTGTGATGGGCAGAGGCCTGTTCTCCCCATTACACCCTCCTGACAGAGAAGGAACTCCGAAACGAGTCGCCATGGAGGCCCACACCACGGCTGCAACAGCTCTTCAGTCTCTAGGCACTCGCCCTCGACCACCGGACCTGGTGGAAGCACACAAATAATCGAAGGTGGAATACGAATAGACAGATGTTGTCAGCATTTCCCCTCATTCACCTCATGGGAGAGGGAACCATGATTATCTCTTCTGAATACAGGTAAAGAAGTGATACCCAGCCCTGGCTGGTGCAGCTCAGTGGATTGAGCACGGGCCTGTGAACCAGAGTACCACGGTTCGATTCCCAGTCAGGGCACATGCCTGGGTTGCAGGCCAGTTCCCAGCAGGGGACGCACTAGAGGCAACCATACATTTCTCTCCCTATCTCCTTCCTTTTCCCTCTAAAGATAAATAAATAAAATCTTAAAAAAAAAAAAAGAAGTGATACCCAATCAAGGAAGGCTGTCCTTAGAATATGCAAGCTTCTTAGTAACGAACAGGAAGCATGTCATTCATTCTTTTCTCATCCCTTAGAGCAACGGAAGTGCTGGGGGGTGGGGGGTGGGGCAGTGTTGAAATCCACCGGGACACATCTGGTTATCAGAATTAAGGGATACCACTGAGATTTACTGGGTATAGGCCAAGAAGGTTAAGACATCTTTCAATGTATGAAACAGTCTCAACTAACAAAAAAAATCTTCCTGCACAAAGTTCAAATGTCCCACACATTCATGTTAGTAAAAAACATGCTTCTAGCTCTCTGACCCCAGAATCTCACTCCATTCTATATTCATACACAAAATGTTTTTAGATAGTTGTAAAATTTGAATTTTCCAGGAATTCAACTATTGTTCAAGTCTAGAAAAAAATTATACTAAAAATTGTTTCATTTGAAACTTCAGCAGAATTGCTCATCATTTTATAACATTCCATCACCAACTAGTGTGCATTCCCAACCAGCACTCAATGCGAGAGGTTCGGGCATTCGGCCTACTCACTGCCTCCTTATGTATCTAACCCAACCATTTACATATTGAAACCCATGTTATTTTATTATGCAGTACTATCCTTCTGTTTCTCCTTCCATTACACTAAAGGCACTATATTCATATTCTAACTATATATTATATTGTCTAAACACTGCATTCTAGAGCATGAGGGCATTACAAAAAATTATTCTTTAAAAAAAAAGCATTGGATCTCATAGGTTTGAGACTCACTGTCTGCCCAGAGGACACACTCAACTAATGTTTGCCAGGAGTAAATGCACCAGTGATCTGTTAGGACAAAACATAAACCAGGGCAAAAGGCCCCATCTCACAGCCACAGCACAGACTGCCCCAGGTCCCACCAGGGGAAGGAGATCCACAGAGTCCTTGACCCTCAGCTGGAGATCAAGTTTGAGGGCAAGAGGTTTCAAACATACCAGGATACTTTTCAGAGTTAAAGGAGGCACTACGAATTATGCCCATCCAGCAGGCATCCTCCACAGCTGTCCCAGACAAACCAGGACAGGTGTGACTACCTTGAAACTAAGGCACGTTTGTGAGCATTCCAACCCAGACCTCTTCAATCCCACATTCCCCTGAAAGGTCCACAAAGTCCCTAATGCTTCTCCAGTTTCCCAGCACATGGGCGGGATGGAGCCCAGTCAACCCTGGCAGCAAGGCCGGCTACTGTCCCTCCATCTCACTGTGGCTCCTACTCCTCTGCATCTACCAGGATGCCACCCACCCAGCCCCCAACATCCCACTGCCCTCACTCCTCACGGACACACCGGGCAGGAGGCAGCAGTCAATCCAGTGAACCGTAACAGAAGGGCCCTCAGTAAAAATGCCTCAAGCTCTTGTTAAGTAAGTACGAAGACAAATTTTGCCACCAGCAAAAATATAGCTTCTTTGTAGCCAGCTGTGGGAAAGCATAAAAAGGCCAGCAGGATGAATGGAACTGCTGTCCAAAGCCTGAGCTTTAGCTGGTCTCAGGGGCTCAAGTAGGTGACAGGGTGCTGTGGACTAACCAATATATAAGGATTTTGATCCTCAGTAACTCTTAAGTCCAAACAGATCAAAGATTTTGAGACATCTTTCCGATCTAACCAGATTCTTCATAAAGTTTCAATTCAAAGAGCATATATACTATTACATATCCCGCTGAGATAAGGCTCTAAATATTTTTTTAAATCAGCACAATAAAAACTACATGAATGGAAAGTTTGATATACTCAAGTAAAATTTATATATACTACTATGCAGAAAAATATCTAAGGATTTGTCAGAAAAGAAAGAAGGAGAAAATGGAAGGAAGGGAGGGAGGGAGGGAGGGAGGGAGGGAGGGAGGGAGGAAGGAAGGAAGGAAGGAAGGAAGGAAGGAAGGAAGGAAGGAAGGAAGGAAGGAAGGAAGGAAGGAAGGAACTTCAAAGATCTGATGGGTCAACTCCAAAGACCCAGTCTGGTGTACGTCAGAAAGAAAATGTGAGAATGACTCCAAGCCAGTCCAGCAGGGTGTCACATGTCTACTTTGGGTCTAAGGGAAAGAAGTTCCATGAAACTGCAGAGGTAGATGCCCTCGCGTGTAGTACCTCCCGGGTAATGAACCGGGGAGCCTGGGTGAGGAGGTGACCAGGGCCCACTGGTCTGCTCTTACCATCGCACTTTGTTGCATGTCTGCGTCGCACCGAGAGGGGAGCCTGCTACCATGGGAACTTGGATGGGACTGTGCTGCTTGTTTGTGACCAGATCCAGCTTTTCTTCTAATGATTTACAAGTAGCCTCGAGAGCTTGCAGTTTGGCTTCAATGCTATCCAATCGTAAGCATATTGTCTGGTTAATGGAATACAGGAATGACTGAAAGTGAAAAAAAGAAAAACTTCAGAAAAGGGATATCTTGAACTTTAAGGAGACAGTTGCAATGAACACCAAATGGCTATTCCCTAATTTGAATTGTGTCTACCCCAGTAAGAACAATCCTGCACTTTACCTCTTTAGTTTTAAGCCAGAAACATCTGAGTAAACAAGTTCAACCTCTTGTATTTAAAATGTGATTACTTAAATCATGGTTTTACTTCTCTTTGTAGTTTTGATCCTTACTAACGTTTAAGTCCATATAATAAAAATGTACATAGTTTTCAGGATGTTTCTCTATTAATCAGTAAGTTTACACATAAAACTAGTCATATATAACTATAAATATATATTTACTTGCAACATCAAAATGCATGGAAACCACTGGTCCAGCATAGTCACATTATCCCCACGGTCCTGATGTTGAAATTTAGTAAAAAGGTTATGAACAGCACGTCTGCCACCTAGTGGTTGACATGAAGAGCTGCCTCACACTTGGTTATCATTTCTGAGCCAATTCCCGATTACTAACTCCAATTGATTCCAATAAGCAGGTCATTCACAACTCCGGACCCCAAAAATGGATCAAATACACATCCATCCAGGAAAGCTCTTCACTTCCCACAACTGCCATTCCTGCCATGAGAAGCATGTTTTCAGGTCAGACTTCCACTGTACAGCAAACACCCTAGGCTGGTCTCACCAGCTGGTAGGATTCAGAGTGCTAGTTCAGAGCAAGTTCATAAAGAATCCAATAGTTCAATGTAATGGAAATGCTGGCCTGAGAGTCAACAGCTGAAAATAATAAATCTCCCTTCCTTTCCCTCTGCTTGTCTGCCCCAAGTAAAAAGCTGGCCTCTGACGGACAGACCGGACATTAGCTAGGCCTGCTCTCCTAATTGGAAGCAAAAGAGCAAAATTAGAGCAATATCACATCATGCAGGGGCATCAAGGCCTGGGAAAGAGAAAAATGCTCACTCTTAACAATGCATTTTCAACAGACTGAGCTTAACTGCTGAAGAAGTTAAAGGCACTGGTCTAACTGCCTGATAGATATGGCAGGAAGGGGCAGTGATGCGGAAAACAAACCTGCACACTGCCCAAACGACTCACTCTGTCTCAAGTGATCACAGCCCCAACGAGACTCGTGAGTGCTAACACACAAAGCAAGGGGCTAAACTCCAGGTCCTCACCGCTGCGGACTGCCTGCCTTCAGGAGAATGGGGCGTTAAAGCAAGTGTGTGCCAGGCAAAGACGCACACAGTGCAGACACTCCATCACCAAGGATCTACAAAGAGGTAACGTCCATGGTTCACCCTAATATACGTCCCCAGTAGAATCACTCACTGGTGCTGAATTTTTGAGACAAAATCCCTTATAAATCCACTATTCTTTATCATTTGAAGACATCAAATATCTGGCTCATGAAATCTTAAAATACAGTAAGACCGTATTATTTTAATTCTAAACCCCAGGCAGGATTTAAAGTAATCCTGCCTGGGGTTTGGACAAAATGCTCTGTTATGTACTAATAAAACAATTATCAAAAAAACAACAAAGAAGAGCAGAGAACATATTCTGAATAAGCCTTTTGATTAAGTGATATTAACCGTAAATAGTCACATTCATTGAAGACTTCCGGGCAATTTGGTGGCAAACCTGCTCCAACAGCACACGCGTTAGTGCTCAGAGCACGGCCCAGGTCTGACTTACTGACAGTGGGGCTAGGCTGGGCCACTTTCGGTTTTTACTTTATACATTTCTGTCTGTTTATGCTTATAATAAATGAACCTCTGGTGGTAAAACTGCATTTTATTTTAAAATATGATAATTTGGTGTTACTAATGCAGCCATCCTCTATCCATTGGTGTGAAACAGAAATTTAACCGTGAATATACTTTTAAAACACCTACATGTTTAAGCTTACACTGCTTCCCCTCATTAATGAAATTAAGTTCTGGGGGACATGAATGTTTCTAAAAAGACACCCCATATAACGAGAAGGCTTACATGAAAAGTTAGTATGGTTTTCTTCTCTCTTTTTGTTTTTTCCTTTACTTCTTATACTATGATTTTCATTTGCATTGCTTTCTTAAATTTTTCACACGTGCTGACATTTATCTCCATGATTCTATAAACACTAAACCAAAAAAGTAAACCCAAAAATCCAAAATCACTGACTGACTCAGTGGTTTACAAGACCACATCTAGTAAACTTTAAAATTTAGGTGACTTAAATGGTAGTACGGAAGTACTTTGGCACAAGTGGAAAATATTAGCCACTCAAATTGTTCTCTGATGTCCATAACAGCTCTACAGTTCTATAGGAAAATGCCTCATTTGGCAGCAATCCCAATCTAAATAACACTGATTCCTCATAATCTTTAAGGGAGAAAAATGGCTTTATGCGCCACATAGGAGATTGAACAGTGACTCCCAAGAATGATACGTCTACATCCTAATCCCCAGAATTTATATATGTGGTCTTATTTAGAAAAGGGTCTCTGCAGGTAAAATTAAATCAAGTATCTAGGTCTTCCTGGATTAGAATGATACCTGAAGTCAATAATGATGTTCTTATAAGAGATGAGAAAGAGCTCCATCCAGTGTGGCTCAGGTGGATGGAGCATCAGCCCATAATGGAAAGGTCATGGGTTCAATTCCAGTCAAGACACATCTAGTTACAGATTCCGTCCCCAGTCAGGGTGAGTACCAGAGGCAACCAGTCAATGTTTCTCTCTTACCTCAATATCTCTCTCGAGACCCCTCTCTCTCCCTCCCTTCCCCTCTCTCTAAAATCATTAAGCATGTCCTCGAACGAGGATTTAAAAAACAGAGAGAAAACCTTGGCTGATGTGGCTCAGTGGATTGAGTGCCAGACTGCAAACCAAAAAGGTCACTGGTTTGCATTCCTGGCCAGGGCACACACCTGGGTTGCAGGCCGGGTCCCCAGCCGGGAGTGTGTAAGAGGCAACTGATCAATGTTTCTCTCACACATCGATGTTTCTCTCCCTCTCTTTATCCCTCCCTCCTCCTCTCTGTGAAAATAAATAAAATTTTAATAACAGAGAGAAAGAAGAATAAGGGAAATGGACAGTGACACATAGGAAGGAGAGTCCACATGAGGATGGAGGCAGAGACTTGGGTGATGTGGCCACAAGCCAAGGACCTCCTGGATCACCAGAGGCTGGAAAGGCAGTAAAAGAGCCTCCCCTAGAGTCTCTGGAGGATGCACAGCCCCGCCCACACGCTGAGCTCAGACTTCTGGTCTCCGAAGCTGCAAGAGGATACATTTCTGTTGTTTCAGGCTCCCCAGTTTTTGACAATTTGTTACAGCAGCCCTAGGAAACTAAGATATCAATAATAAAATACATTAGTATTTTTACCTTTATAGAGGGGTCCTGACAATTGATCTCTAATCGTTGGCGTTTCAAAGATGGTTCATCTTCATCTGTCACTACATGATTCTCCAGTACAACTGAAAACCAAAGGCAGAAACAAAAGTTAAACTTCAATATAAAAAGTTTTATGGACTGTTTTAATATTAAGATAGTAAACCATCTGACACCTTAAGGTTAAATGAGAAGTGGTACAACCTGTTTCATGGTTTCCTTTTTCATAGCTTTAACTTAAAATTTTCAGACACAACCTACAGAAAGTAGGTTCTCCCCTTAATCTCAAAAAACCTGACATACTGGATAAATAAATCCCCTAATGTGCCACTGAGTTGATCCTAAAATCAGAACTAGGTGTTTCTTATTCCATGTTCTATTAGGCTATCCTGTTTGAATTTCAGCATAACAAAACCGAATGAATAATGATTACTTTCACACTTTAAAGTCTTGTCTGTTGCCTACTTCATTACAAATTCAAAACCTCCCTGGTTATTACATTTTCCTAGGTGATGAGCATCAAAACAGTCCCAAACTTAACACACTAAGTTACACAGAAAGCTATTCCACAGTGCCGCTGAAATCAATGACTCCCCATCCGCAATTTTCAGCTGATAGTGGCTTCCCCACAAATAAGCCACTCCCTCCCTTTCATCTAAAATTAGCTACAAAACAATACTGAAGACAGCCCCAAAATCAAAGACCAGAACTGTCCACAATCACATCATTTCTGCAAACCACATTTCTCTGTTCCTGATTGCTTGCCCTAGACCTAGTCAATAACTAAACATTTACATATTACCAATGACAGAATTTCGTATTTAACATTTTTTATTGAACATGATACCATGAGTAATTTTTGAGTTTGCTACAGTGTTTTTTTCCTTCTCATCTCCTTGCCTGAAATCACTATGTTAACTGCCTGATGTAGTTTTCCCCACCTCTTTCTACAAGTTCACACATGGACACAAACATAGTGCATATGTACCAGAGGGCCAAGGCCCTCTCATTTCAATAGTCCTCCCAGTAAATAGCTTTAACTCACTTTTTAACAGTGATATCAGTTTGTGAATCTATTTTATAGAAATGAATGTCAGTATATGAAAATATACAAATATACGGATAGAACACATATAATACTGTGTATATACACATGTGCACACAGAAGTGCAATCACTGGAGCACTTGTGGGAGAGTGTCCACACGTGGAGAATAAAGTAGGGGACATGCACACTTTGGCATATCATCCAACCTCCTTTCGAATGCATCCCCTGCTACAATCGAGCAGGGTAAACTTGCTGGAGACAGTGCCTGCCTCACTGGGACGGTGCTGTCTGACCACATCCCAGCTCTTCCTCCTCCAATCCTCCCTATACCCACACTGTCCAACCACCTCCACTCAAGGAAACCTATCCACCTTTTTCCACCAGGCCCATGTGGAGGCCGGAACTAATGCTTGCTCATGCTGTCACACCAGCAGTGGCACAGTGACTACCCCCAAACACAGAGGCCCTCCAGCCTCTCACACAAGGCTGTCTACAAATGTGGACACAGCTCATCCTGCTGGCATTTGACTTTTCATCCGCTAAGGGAGGGGCAGGGGCAGGCACAGGGGAAGCCAAATGCATGGGACGCTGTGGCCCAGGCCCCGTCTCAATTAAAGCAGCTCTACTTCAACGGGCTGTATATGTTCAGGTTCCAAATAATATCTTAATTTTTTAAGGATCAATGCCTTTAAACCTACTGTTACAAAATGACTCATCTCAAAGCCCATTAAGTGTAGAGACACTGCAGAGGTCTATGACCCTAACACAAACTCTTCATGGTTCCTCAGTAAGAGTGGTAAAATGATCTCCCAGAGATGATTACCCAAAGCTCCCCTGCAGAAACCAGCCAAGGACCAACAATAACAAGGAGCATCAGACACTATGGATCCCATATGCAAAAAATGCCTTACCCACCTCCACAGAAGTAGATGAGAATGAATGTTCATTTAATTAAGTAAAAAAGGAAGAAATCCATGCCCACAAGTGTTTGTGGTTAACAAAATACAGGTTTGGAGAACTTTAGTCACAGTCTATTTACCTCCATAGGGAACCAGTAATTTTACTGGGACTGGGAGGACAGAGAGGAACCCTGACAATCATTATTCAAATCCTTTTAATTTGCTAAATAGACAGCTCTGTATGCATGGCTTTCTGAGGCCTTCATAGGCAGAAAGCCTGCAATTTCTGACCCAAAAGAACTCTCAGCACACCTGGCAAATACCATGGTGCATTACACACATTTACACCAGAGAGGTTAAGTGACTTGTCCAGGGCCACAAAGCTGGTCCCTGTAACTACAGAAAAAAGACTCCATGCCCCTGGGCAGCATGGAGCACCTCAATCTGGAAGCAATGGGCAGTGAAGCAGACGTGTAAAAGGAGATGTGTCCATGGCAGATGACAGAGGCACAGGTACCAGGGTTCAGCAATACCTTCCCATGGGCTGTGGGACTGCAAGTTTCTTTTCCTCTTTGTCCGTTGCTAAATTGCTTTTTATAATTTTGCACGCATTACCTTAAAAATTAGGCTAAAGAACTCAATATTCATTGTAAAGCCATCACAATTAAATAGAATGAGAGGTACGGTGAAAGTCACATGCAGACAGGTAAAGTAAGTGCAGCTCTATGGTGAGTACATGCAAAACCAGAACCTAAACATTTTTGTTTTAAATGGAAATCAGAACAAACTGGAAGGACATACATGCCGACAATTTAAAAGTAGTCCTATTGCTAAGATTATGAGAAATTTTTGTTTCTTCTACTTGCTTAACTATATATTTAAATTTCACAAAGGTCATATTTTAGAGATAAGGGGAAAATACTCTCAGTCCTAAACCCACTCTGAATGTAAAGGTGTGTAATATACCATGGTATTTGCCAGGTGTGCTGAGAGTTCTTTTAGGTCAGAAATTGCAGGTTTTCTGGCTGCAAAGGCCTCAACAGAGTCCTGCACACAGGTTTTCATTAAACAGTCAATGAACTCTAATTCCCAGGTATTTAAGGAACAGAGATAAAACAACATTAGAAATGAATTCTCTAAGCCTTCTTTGCACTATAATCTACAGAGAGGAAATTTGTGTAGAAATTTAACTATCAGAATTTTAATAGTTCTAGCCCTGACCAGCGTGGCTCAGTTGTTTGAGCATCAGCCTACAAAGCATATGGTCATAGATTCAAATCCCGGTCAGGGCACATGCCTGGTTTGCAGGCTGCTCCCCCGCTGGGGCAGTTATGAGAAGCAACCAAATGATGTTTCTCTCTTTCTCTCTTTCTCCTTACCTTCCCCTCTTACCAAAAATAAATAAATAAAATCTTTAAAAAATAAAAAAAAGTTTTATAGTTCTAAAAATGGTTAAATTTTATGTAACTGGAATATTTTTCTTTTATAACATTACAGTGTGTGCTTTCTAAAGAAACTATTGTTCACCTACCAAAATATAAACATGGATATTTTTTAATTGCTATATATAGTGATAGTGTTGCTTCTTTTTTTAAGTTCAATGGTATCTAAGGTGTGGTGCTAATGAGGTCAAGGCTACAAGTTCTAGCTCTAAACAAACTGGTTAGTTTTTACAGAGAAAATTGTAGTTGAATTGCTACACTCATATCCCCAATTTTGTTCAATGATCTGATAAGCCTCTTGATTTTGCCAGTTAATAGGGGATAGTGCTTCTTATTAAAAAAACAGAACCAGCTTTCGGCTCTCTGAGCACACCATGCCAGTGGGCAGGAATAAGCAAGCGCCTTATAGAAAGGTGGCAAAAAGGGAGCCAAGAAGAAAGCGGCTGATCCATTTTTTAAAAAAATATCAGTGTGATATGAAAGCACAAACTGGGTTCAATATAAAAACATGTTAGAGAAACACTAGTGGCAAGAACTCAAAAGCACCAAAATCACATCTGATGGTCTCAAGGGTTATTTTATTTTATTTTTTTAATCCTTACCTGAGGACATGCTTATTGATTTTAGAGAGAGGGCAAGGGAGGGAGGGAGAGAGGGAGAGGAACTTGGACATGAGAGAGAAACATCGATCAGTTGCTTCTCATAGGCGCCCACCAAGGATCAAACCAACAACCCAAGCACATGCCCTGACCAGGAATCCAACCTGCGAACTTTCAGTTTACGGGACAACTCTCCAAGTGAGTCACACTAGTTAGGGCAAGGGTTGTGTTTTTGAAGTGAGCCTAAATGATATGCAGAATGATAGAGTTGCATCTCACTTAGAAAAATTCAAGCTAATTACTGAGGATGTTTAGGGCAAAAACACCCGACTAATTCCCATGGCATGGATCTTACCCATGACAAAATGTGCTCTGTGGCCCCAAAATGGCAGACCACAATTGATGCTTGTACTGATGTCAAAACTACCATTTGTTATTTGCTTCATTTACTCTGTGATGGTTTTACTAAAAACCACATCAGACTTCTAGCCAAGATGAAGGCATAGGTAGATACACCGTGTCTCCTCGCACAACCAAAAGGACAAGAGCAAATTTAAAAACAAAAAACAACCAGAACTGACAGAAAATCAAACTGTATGGAAGTCCGACAACTAAGGAGTTAAAGAAGAAACATTCATCCAGACCAGTAGGAAGGGCAGAGACAGGCAGCCAAGCAGAGGACTCTTGGCAAGGCAGCAGCTGGTGGACCTGGTGAGGAAGCAGATTGCGGACTGGGTGGACCCACATTCTCATGCAGATAAACTGGGAGGAACAACTAAGGGGCAAACACAGAAAGCACAAACCAGGGTTCCAGCACAGGAGAAATAAAGCTTCAAAGCCTCAGACTGAAAACACCTATGGGTGTTGAGGCAGCAGGAAAAACTCCCAGGCTCACAGGAGAGTTCACTGGAGAGACCCACAGGGTCCTAGAACGTACACAAACCCACCCACATGGGAATCAGCACCAGAAGGGCCCAATTTGACGGTGGGTAACTGGGAACTGAAATCCAGCAGAGAGGAGAACAGGTGGCATTGTTCCCTCTCAGACCCCTTCCTCACATACAGCGTCACAACGCAGCCACAAGGGTTACCCCGCCCTGGTAAACACCTAAGGCTCCACCCCTTATACATAGATAGCAGGCATGCCAACACATATACAAAAATGGCCCAAATGAAAGAACAGATCAAAGCTCCAGGAAAAATACACCTAAGTGATGAAGAGATAGCCAACCTATCAGATGCACAGTTCAAAGGTCATATTTTAGAGATAAGGGGAAAATACTCTCAGTCCTAAACCCACTCTGAATGTAAAGGTGTGTAATATACCATGGTGATTAGGATGCTCACAGAATTGGTCAAATATGGTCATAAATTAGAGGAAAAAATGAAGGCTAAGCTAAGTGAAATAAAAGAAAATGTATAGGAAACCAACAGTGATGGGAAGGAAACCAGGACTCAAATCAATGGTGTGGACCAGAAGGAAGAAAGAAACCTTCAACCAGAACAGAATGAAAAAACAAGAATTCAAAAAAAATGAGGAGAGGCTTAGGAACCTCTAGGACATCTTTAAATGTTCCAATATCCAAATCATAGGGGTGCCAGAAGGAACAAGAGCAAGAAATTGGAAACTTACTTGAAAACATAATGAAGGAGAACTTCCCCAATCTGGCAAAGGAAACAGACTTCCAGGAAGTCCAGGAAGCTCAGAGAGTCTCAAAGAAGTTGAACCCAAGGAAGAACACACCAAGGCACATCATAATTACATTACCCAAGATTAAAGATAAGGAGAGAATCTGAAAAGCAGCCAGAGAAAAGGAGACAGTTACCTACAAAAGAGTGCCCATAAGACTGTCAGCTAGTTTCTCAAAAGAAACCTTACAGGCAAGAAGGGGCTGGAAAGAAGTATTCCAAGTCACGAAAGGCAAGGACCTACATCCAAGATTCCTCTATCCAGCAAAGCTATCATTCAGCATGAAAGGACAGAAAAGTGCTTACCAGTAAGGTCAAATTAAAAGAGTTCATCATCACCAAGCCCTTATTATATGAAATGTTAAAGGGACTTATCTAAGAAAAAGAAGATAAAAAATATGACCAGTAAAATGACAACACACTCATAGTTATTAATCACCGAAGCTAAAACAAAAACAAACTAAGCAAACAACTAGAACAGGAATATAATCACAAAAATGGAGATCACATGAAGGGTTATCAACAGGGAAGTGAGAAAGGGAAGGAGGGGGAAAGGTACAGAGAATAAGCAGCATAAATGGTAGGTCGAAAATAGACAGGGGGAGATTAAGAATAGTGTAGGAAATGTAGAAGCCAAAGAACTTATAAGTATGACACATGGACATGAACTAAAGGGGGGGAATGTGGGTGGGAGGAGGTGCGCAGGGTCGGGGGGAATAAAGGAGGGAAAATGGGACAACTGTAATAGCATAATCAATTTATAAAAAATGCATCAGATTCAGATCTCCTGTGCTCCACATCAACAGGTCCACCAAATCCAAAACATGACTACACAAATCACAACCTGAGAATTACAGACAAATTATTTGAAAGAAGTGGTCAATAAATTGACTCCAGATAGCACTGGAAAAAACACAGAAAAGGCCTGCCAGTATTTATCTGCTCCATGGTGTCTAGAAAAGTCAAAATGGTGAAGAAGCCCAAGTATGAAAACTCACAGAGCTTCGTGGTGAAGGCAGAAGTTCTGGGAGAGCTACTGGGGATGAGACAGGTGCTAAAGTTGAATGAGCTGATAGATATGAGCTCCAAGTCCAAGAAGAATCTGTTTAAAATCTAGACTTTTAATAATGACAATTTTTTTAAAAATCTGATTTGTGAAAACAATCAAAAGCAAAATAAGGGAGAAACTAAGAATAGTATTCCTGAGAGAATGCCTTCATTTCTTTATGACTATTCATTTAAACCCAAAATTATCTATATTACTCTCCCCTTGTGTTAAGATACCTAATTTCCAAACGAAGTTTTTTCAATTAACATAGCAAACAGATCACACAAGATAGACATCATGCTTTCTTATAAAATTTCTGAAAATTCTATTTTCTATGGGAAAAATAGTTCAGCATTTCAATTCTACTATTCTAGAAAGAAAAATGGGCAAAAGACACTCAGTGACTTAATTATGTGTACTTGTGACCTCAAACTTAACAGAAATATAAAACACATAAAACTTTAAGGTAGAAAAAAAAAAGGAGGAAACTTACTAAGAAAATTTTTTAATGAAGTAAAAATGGAGACAAAGATTTTTCATAGGTGAAGTTCTTGAAATTTAGGGTCTTCTTAAAACAAACATTTAGTTAAGTTTTCAAAGGAGAAGTACACCTTTAACATCATTGAGAAAAATCACCAGCCTGTGCAAAAGTATAGGGAAAAAGTCTTCTCACTCAGCTGACTTTAGTAAAACATTTCTGGGAAGTCTGTCAGTGTCTCATCAAAACCGTGAACATACAAAGAAATTCTACTTCTGGAAACTTAACATAAAAAATATCTGCCAGGATATATGTGCAGGAATCATATTGCAGGGGATTATATGAAAGAAAAACAGTGCAAAAAATGAAATGCCATCCACAAGGGGAAATTTTAAGAAAGGGGGTAGAGGGGCACCTATAAATGGACTATCATGCAGTTGTCAAAAAAACTGCAGTCAATCTGTACATACCAATGCAGTAAGATTCCATGACCCGTGACGACAGTGAATTTTAGAAGGGGGCACCTGTAAGGAAGAAAGTTGTCATAGGAGCCCCTATGGGTGGGGTAGGAAGAGGGAAAGAGGGCCTGTCAGTGCCTGTGCCCATCAGAAGAGGGAAGAGCGACAAAATGCTGGAGGGTTACCCATCAGGGAATGGACCTTTCACACAGAGCATGCATCACTCTTTCTCTTGCTTTCTTTAAAAGATTAAAGACAACTTCTGGAAGAGGCTTTGGATGTTTAAAGCACAGAGAGAATAGAGCCCATTTACTCTCCCACAGCTCTGTACCTGGGTGATGGGGACTCAGATCTTCTACTGCAATCTGCACCACATCCGCCAGATCCTGTTCTGACATCATCCAGAACGGGAGGAGAGGGGCAGTCAACAAGGAAGAAGCAAACTCACACAGGACTGGGATTCTGCCACCTACAAAACAAACACAACAGCAGAGGAGAGGGAGATTAACGGTAGTGACCTGTAAAATGAAAACTGCTAACCATGTATATTCAAGAGGACATCAGACAGTTTTTAATGCACTTCTTCTTGCCCCAAACCACCGAAAGGTTAGTGCTCTTTGAGAATTGAGAAAGAGCCCAAAACTGTTTATTTTGTCTGTCCTTAACCACTAGACTAGCCTCTCGCTTCATCAGTCCATTCCATACCACCTCCTAAAATGGTTTAAACATGTCATCCCCAAGCCAAGTCTCCAGTGGTCCCCTACTGACCACAGAACGCATCCCATCCCCCACCTGCTCCCCTTGGGGTCTCAGCTCCTGCTATACACACCACACCCTAGAAAACTATCACACTGTTGTCTCCACCAGTAACATACCTCTCACTCCCAAATTTCACCCAAGTGGCCCCTTCAGCCAAGGCTGTGCCCATACTCCATTTCTGCTATTCAAAACTGCCCTCCCCCCGAGTTCCTCTGCTTTGCTTCCCCTTGGCTTCCAGTACAAACCTGAACTGCAGCACAGCCCCACTGCTGTGCCCGGGAGCACCACCATCCTGTCCACACTGTACCTTCCGAGGCTGGGCCACCCCTGCTGCGAGCTGTCATCCCTGAGCCTAGCACTGTGTCTGGAGCAGAGTCAGTTATTTTCTTCCTGCTCCTGAAACACTGTGATTAGGCCTAGAGAGACCTTATTTTCCAAAACAAAAATGAGGCCATGCCATTCCAAATAAGACCTATTAACCAGGGATCTAAATTTAGTACTGGAAAACAGGATGTCCTAAAGAATTCGGGAATCAATGTCACCATAATAGTTTTATCATATTATACTTTATTTATAAGTAAATATTTACAAAATAAATAATTTACGTATCTGTCCCCACCTAGACAACATGCCCCCCGAGGGCAGAAACCATGCACTCAGCCCTACAGCACAGCTCCTTCCACAAGTAAGTACTACCGATCCCCAGTCACAACCCCTGTGGGGCAGGGAGGAGAGGACTGAAAATTTTCAGATCATTTACTTTCAAATCAGGATCTCCTGACAGCTTCTTTTAATGGTAAATTCCAACAGGCATTAAATTAAATTTGTAAGTTGCACATGTGTTCTTAAATCCTGTAAATAACGTGGTTCCTTTTCTCTTCTTTCCAGATTTAAATTTCACAGCTTAAACAGTAGCAGCTCCAGAATTTCCTAGGGAAGACAATGTGTAGGAGGAACTAATCTCTCTCAAATCTTCCTCCGTAGAGTAAATGTAACTTTTTTATATAAACATCTGATCAAAGGTATGATCATCAAAATGGCAAAGGTGTTTTTACTCCCAGATTACACACTTCACACAAGGCTGAACAAGATGAAAAAGCATCAACTGTCCTTAATAAAGAAGAGACTGATGACAAACAATCTGGATGGGAAACAAAGGACCTCAGAACCACTTTGACTGAACCCTTGAATAGTCCAACTAGGGAAAGATGGCAGTAACAAAGACTTTTAATGTCCCCAAATCCTCCCATAAAAACACACGGAGCAACTAAGATAGCAAAACCAAAATTCAGGTCATTGTTTGTAACAGAACTGAGTAATAAGGCGTTCCTAACAAATCCCAAAATACATGTAAGGGGACACACCACTGACAGCTACAAGATCATCACGATGAAAGCAGGTATAAAGCAGGAAGCAGAGAAGCAATGTATCGACTTGAGAACAGCAGCTGAAACCAGGAAGTGAGCATAATCCCACAGCAGACAAATACAAGAGGTCTGCAGTCAAGTCTGGAAGGCCTAAAACATTCTGGGCCCCAATAACACTCAAAATTAATCATTCAAAGCTCCCTTTAGGTCAAACATACTGAAAAGAAATGGCTGGGAACAGACTACAAAATATACAGGACAGGGAAAACAGTGAGAGGCAAACAAAAGTCTAATTAAATATGGAAGAGAAAAACAAAGCCAAGAGAGGTCAGAAAATGAGCAGCTATATTTATTAAAACTTCCTAAAAAACACAGAAAACAGAGCTCTAGAACACTGAAATTAGTAAAACTATTCAAATAAAGCCTCCCTACTAAATATTTGGGAAAATTAATTCTACATAAAAATGAACAACAGAAAAAATACTGGCGTAATTCATGCCAATACAATGTGTTTTCAAAGAGAATAAGGCGCAAAATAACATCGCACAGAAGTGAAAGCATGCTAGAATGACAAGTCGCCAAAAGAGATGAAAATGCTACGGAATAATTCAAAACAAGTTAAAATACGTGAAGAAAATATTACATTATTAACCATAAACCATCAAGAGAAAAGCTCCAAATGAGGTGACAGAACTCACAAAAGATTAGAAACAAAAGAAAAAAAACTGGAAATGAAAACTAGAGTAAATCCAAGAGCAGGTAAACACAATAAATGATGCCTTCAGAAAAACGATGAGAAAAGGGGGAAAAATTTTAAGAGTAAAGAAAAGAGTGGAAGAAAAAGTAGCGTAGTGACGCCAAAGATCCAACCCGTGTAACAAGAAGACCCTAAGGAAGAAAACCAAAGCCACGCGCACTCGGTGTGGTGCACTGCACTGGAAGAGAGTCGGGAGGGAGAGCGAGCCCTCCTGTGCCTTTGGTGGGAGTCTAACCCTGAAGAGCAACGAGCAGTATGGCTACCAAAATGCTACTGCCCACAGCCCTGATCATGCCTTTTCCCATTCAAGAATCTTTCCATCACACAGATTCAAAGATTTATGTTAAAAAAAAAAAAAAAAAAAACCTAAGACAATGCTTTTAGCACCCAAAGAATGGATGCAACCTAAATGTGCATCAACAACAAAAAAGTATGGCGCTGCCAAACACTGGAATTCCAAACAACTGTAAAAGGACACAAATATCTCTAAGGACAACTCCCAAGATGCAGTACTACATAATAATAAATGGGGCAAAATGTGTACATCATGCTTTTTTAAAGAAATATGCTAGATGTGCACAGAATATCCTTGGAACATTAAGGGTAAAGAAAATTATTTTTCATTTTTCACCTTGTTATACTTTTTTTATCAAGTATATTCATCACCTTTCCAAAAATAAAAAACACTTTTAAGATTATCAAAAAGCTAAATAGTTAGGCATAAGACACTTAGGCATAAACTGTGGGGAAAATGCTCAGTTCCAACCTCAGTTATATCCAGTAATATTCTCTGAACCTGGTGCCTGTGCTGAACACTGGGAATTTCTTCAACCTTCATCCTCAGCAACTGCTCCAGGAGAACCTGTCAGGATAAGGAAATAGGGTGTCGTGCTAAATCTGTGCCCCCTGAAGATGACTTCCAAGTACAGATTAACTGGTGCTCAGTTTGAAGATCAAATCTACTCATGCCATAAACTCAGTCTTCTTTTTTCCAAGTTAAAAACCAAAGTATAAATGATTACTAAAGGGATACACTGAACTTTTAAATGAAGGCAGCAGTCTTCAGATAATAACCACTCAACTGAGCTTTGACTTGACGGACATAAAACATTCTACACTCACAGACTGTTTATGGACCGTTTCCCTGGAAAAGAGCACACAGACAAATTTCTGCCAAGTTTCACAGCCTTCACCAATCCCAGAGCAGGAGCCCTAGTTTATAGGGGCCATGCGGCCACCAGAGGAGGCTCCCTGCCTCACCTACTGCACACTGTGGCTACCTGACCAAGTTTGAGCTAATGGGACATGAGCTCAGACATGGTGCGTGGCAGCTCCAGGACACCTTGTCAAAGGAAAGCTGGCACACAGCCATTGCCCTCCTTCTTGTCCTCCTGCTGCTGGGCTCCAGGGATGAGGATGTAACAGGAGCTAGAACAGAGCAAGGAACAGGAACAAAGTAGCCTGAGGTCCTCATATCTATAGTGCTACCACGCGTCCTGGACTGCCTGCCCCAGACTTCCTCATAAGAAAAAAAAAAAGAACCAACAACCTGCTTTAGAACAACATATGTTGCAGTGTCACATGCAGCCAAGCTTAACCTAAGTGATATACCGTGGATATATTAAGCCCATTTATGATGACCCTGGATCTACAGTTTCCAGGTTAAATACCTGTCTCACACACAGGTCTACTGGAAAGCTTTCAAGGGCCCAATCCAAGCCTTCTCCTGGTTTCTGAAAGCTCTACAAGTGGCTTAATACTCCAAACTCACCATATAATCCTGAACCCTAACCTCTTCCAAATGAGGCCACCATACGTTATCCAAGTCGTTTACTCAAAATGGTTCTGTGGCCAGAATAAAGAGTCATCTAAAATTCTGCTAACAGTGAAGGTTTGAATAGAAAAAAGTAGGGCAACAAGCCCGAGAAAACTGGAACAGAGCAATACATGCGGTTGCCATTTTGGCAAATTAAATTTGCCATTTCTCAGAAGTCATGGAGACAGTCCAGTCTTAAAATAATAAAACAACTGGGCTGTGATGAATGTTCAATAATGCCTTTAATGGCAATGACTAATTAGAACTCTGCTTTAAAACAACGTACTTTGGAATCTGTCACATGCAGCCACCCCGAAGCTCATTCAGGGTCTCCCTGACCCACAGCTTTCAGGTTAAAAACTTGTCTCTCATGAAGGTCTAGTGGAATGTTTCCAAGGGCTTCACACTTTTTCCTGGTTTCTAAAAGTTCTGCAAATGGCTTAAGAAAATACTCTGAACCCACCCTAAAATCCTGAATCCTAGCCTCTTGAGTAGCCGAGGAGAGTATCGTCTAGGGTACACATGAAAAAGGAACCCACCGACCAAATCAACAACTTAGGTGCTTGATCTTGGGGGGTGGTACATGATGGGACATCCTACTGTGAAACATTGCAGACATCAATGTGAGTGACACTGGTGTGATCACACTGACCACAGTGGAAAGTCTCCAGAATATGACACTAACAGAAAAGAATATAAAAGGAAAACTGCAAGACAGTATGTGTATGATCCCTATTGTTTTCTGAAAGTTGCATGTGTGTGCAGTCACA